ATTTAAAATAAGACCAAATAACATGATATAGCTCCTTTAAAACCTCATTAAGAGCAGTGTTATGTAAGTAACTTGAGAAATTCGATAAAAAAATATAATATATCATGAAAAAATGGCAATATTTTTTTCATATTAACACTAATTTAGTACTTATATTATTAGAATTGAATAATTTATAACATATTGATAGAATTAAAAAGATTTATACAAAAAGTTACATGTAAAAATTTTATGTTGCGAATAGAATTGCTGTCACTTACACAAAAAAAATTAAAACACAACTGCAGCGTGTAACCTTAAAAGATGATTGCATAAAAAGTCCTTCCCATAAAGGCCCATTTAAAATAAACGTTGTCACAAAACGAGTGGTGCCTTTGTTTTTTGGTGTTATCTCCTGTTTGCGTTTCATGTTTAAATTTGAACATAACATATAATTGAAACACGTCCTCGACGAGCCTTGCATCCTTAATGCCATAAACGGTCGAACTCGTTCCGTGAATAATAAACCGATTTTAATGTGGAAAGTTCAAGAGAATATTGTTTATTATTCGAAACTTTTTGCAAGTTTGCGGAACTCCGATTAAATTCAGTTTACGGGTGAGTGTTTTTACAACGCGCTGAATTTTTTTTTGTGTTACATGTAAATGCTTTTTCCGTAATGTCCTTTTTGCGCATTAAGTATTATTACTTTCTCCACGGAATCATCAACAGCTACTTATTTGCACTCATACCCTTAGAACAACAGACGTAAACTTGGAAACTGATTGCAGCAAAACCAAAAAGGAGTACTATTAATTATTGTTGTTTATACTTGTATCTTAATATATACGCTTATTTTATTATATACCACAGTTTATCCCCATATCCCGTCAAATCTGTATCCCGATATCTGCAAATTTTGTAAAATCAAAATCTTTTCCTATATAAAAGAGCGAAATAATATTAACCAAGAAGTCATTAGGTTATTTTCAAAACTTCAAAAAAATATATTCTATAAAAATAAACAACTCCTATGTGATATATGAATTTTAAATGGTCTCAAACCTATTTAACTTATATTTATGTAAAGTTTCGACAGGTTTGCATAGTAACAATACTGATAAAAAGTTCAGCAAAACCCATGAGCAAAAGCTAGCTAGAAACTTCAGCGGTGGAATCCAGAAGTTTCCCAAAGTGGGTAAGAAAACAACAAGAAAAACATGGCGACGCGAACGCTTGACGTGTTTCCAATACGAAACTCGAGCTACGTTTTAAATAGCCGAGTCCAGCAAAAACAAGAAAGTTTTTAATTTAACTTTAAATCCAAAATCTTCTCAGCAAATATTTACGATGACTTTGTCCATTTAAATCAGATATTGTTATATTTTTAATGTTTCATTATCATAATACCGACTAGTCACAGACCGAAAACAGTGATATAAACTTTAGATTTTCATTTTTTTTGTTACTCAAACTATAACTTTGGAAGCATTAAAATAATTACAAAGATTTTTACTTAAAAAAAACAAAGTGTTACAAATCTTTGAGCTACCAAACGCGATGCATGATAACGAGCAATTCTGATTCTATATGTACATGTATCTATGCATATCTCAAAAAGTTGTTCAATTCTCATATGTCAAATCAAAACCAATTTACTGGAAATCGGAGTATTATTTTATAATGACAAATGAAATTTAATCCCTCTCATATTATTATCAAATATTCTAATGCGTCTTTCGATAAAGCTGTGAATAGAAAATCTATAAATGGAAACCCGAATTGTATTATCTAATAAATCAGTGTTCGTTTTCAAATTGAAAATAATCTCTTTGTTTTGATGGAGTTAGATAATAATAATGCCGAGATAACTTAGAATATTAAATCAGACCCGAAAATTCCACTCGAAAACGCATCAGATCCATAAATCAAGTATTATTTTCTCTTTCGGCACACGTGAAAGGATAATAAGGAAAATGGGTCCGTTTATCAAATTCACCGGAACATTTCTAATGCAAAACAAATCCGACAGATTTCCAATAACACTCATTCATTTTGGATTTGTTACGAACATTTTGTGCGATTAATTTAATTTCTCATCTGAAAACGGGCGATTAATGCACCTAACCTGTCCACCCATAAAAGCCATTCCGCATTTCTATTTAGGCCACAAATGGTCATTTAACCGATCAATGTGAAATTAAAATCGCCTGTGGCATAATACATTCTAATCAGTCTCTTTCCTTCGACAAAAATACTTAATATTCTGGTAGTAAGTTACTCGGGAATTGTATCGCAATAAAATATAAATGGGAAAAGTTTGAACAAATATGTTTATTTATTTAATTCCGTTATAGGGTTTGTAAAATTTGGTTGTGAGGTCTGTGGGTTATATATATAACACATAATATTCTAAATTTTCCATTGGATAGTTTTGATTAATATAGTGGATAAAACTTTGATTTAGTGAAAAAGTTTTACTGAAGCAAAGAAATACCAAAGGTGTAAGTTTAAATTAAATATTTTGTAAAAGTGTTCCTTTGTATAAAGTACTTTATGGTAAATATTTTTTCTATGGTATAATTAATAAGGTTTTTCTACGATTTTTTTTCTAAAGAAGCAATAAAAATAGCAAAATGGTACATAAATTAACTTTGAAATATTTATACTACATGATCATCATCATCACCAAATATTTATACTACATGATGTTATATTAAAATCAATTTCACTAAAGTCAGAAGATATTTTATGTGAAAAAAGAACTGAAATGCTTATATCTTTAATCGGTTATCATTCTAATTCATTTATTATTTGCTTTATTTGTCATAACAATATTAATATAATGGATATCGTTTGTTTATAAAAGGTCCTAAAAGCCCATGAGTTAAACCAACCAAATCATATGGCAAACATAGATTTCTAGGAGGCAACGATAAGACTGCTTAAAATTTAAAGGCCTTTTGAATGCATTTATTATTTATTCAATATCTGGGCTTTAATTTCTTACAGGCCTTTAACACTATTTAAGCGATTATTCACTTTGTTTATTGGACCCCTTTAGTCTAAATATGGAAACACACTTAGTTTGCGTAGAAAATATTATATACTTTTGCGAATCAAAAAAAAATCTTAGAAAGTGCTAAAAAATTTATGGTATAAATAAAATAACAGTTCTTCATTATTAATGTTATCTTATCTTATCTTAACATTTGCTCACACATAATTTAATGAGAACATTAACATATGCCTCAGAAATGTTATCGTTATAGCACTATTAATTGTAAGCCAATTATCGAGAAATTGATCTCGACAATCTAGGCTTTGCCAATAATAAGCCAAGGACTACGATAACAGTTCATAGTCGCTTTATTTAATATAAATATACAGTATATTCATTATTTATCAAAAGATCGTACAGGAAAATTAAAAAAGGCCAAAACTAAAAGCCGACCACGAAAATATCGGTAAAAGAACATGATAGCTTTGGGTTGTTACCAAATTACAAAGAGGGTTACTGGATATTTCTTTTCAGGGCCCATTACGTAGTATTAATGCTTTAAAATTTCAACTTGAAACTGTAGAATAACCTTTTATATATATAATATTTTGTAAGTATAAAACTATTTTTAGTTATATGGCTACTGCGTTTGTTTTTCTGCTATGAAAATGTCATGTTTCATATCAAATTTTCAATGAATAAATAAGGCAATGAGGTTTACTCTTTCAACATAACATTCACGGAAAGCCAATTATGTAATGTCATGTATTGTATTCAATACAAAGAAACTCAGCTCTGACCCATTTTTGTTTTTATAAAAAGTTATTATAGTCAAAACATTAAACAAAACTCTATCCTGTTTTCTCCATGCTCTTCCATAATTTTAAAATTATTATGTTACCTTATTATAAAAAAAATAAGAACATGAATTCACGAAACTCACATCTCATTCCTATATTTTCATCATGACACATACCGATATAGAAAAATTAAAAATAAAATTTTTGAATTTAATATAAATGATATAGAATAATATTATGTTAAAGTGTTATGTTTTATTCATGATATATAAAATATCTAAAACTGTTACGTACCAAGAATGTAAATATGAGTCAGCCACTGTTTGCTCTGAACGCAATAAATTCGTAGTCTCGCAAATGAACTTTTTAATCACATTGCCATCGAATACACTCAATATTCATTCTCAGTTGAAACATAAACCGATGCGTTGGATGTGTATGAATTTTTTTTTAATATTCGTAAATGAAAAAAGACACTCGTATGTACAAGTGGTAATAAAAAGTTAAATCATATTAGAAATTATCGATGAAGGAAAGTATAATGTATGACTTTACACGATTTAACTTTTATAAAATAATTATTGTCGAAATGATTTATTAAATCACCCCATCCTACATCTAAGGTGTCTGACATGTGTATAAACTGTCACTTTGTTCTGTCACAAGTGACTGTCTGACACGAAACGTGACATTATTTATTACGTCACCCTTCTTCTAAGATGGAACATTATTACGTTTGTGTAAATAATATTTTCATATATAAATTAAGTGACTCCCTAAAATAAATATTATTATAAAAGTATTTTAATATGAGCAAGATTTTGTTCATATCCAATTTAATGTTCAAAACTTATCATGGGTTGTATATCTGTACGTACAGACAAAATAAATACACACAATTTGACATATAATTTGTATTAAATCAACAATATTCTTAGTCTTTACATTCTTTGGTATAATTAGCTCATTTAGGTATAATTAACTATTTATAATTCACTTCTTGACCAGAATTGAGTACATCTATGGCATATCTATATTATATAGACTATATTAATTCTTCATAGCGATAAAATAAAACGGAAACAATTTGAATTGACCAATCAGATGTTAATAACGATACGAACAATTCAGTTAGATCTCTTGATTTCATTTTCTCTTTTTCGTTCCATTTCACTTTGTCACTTCGACGAAATACATTTGTACACATACGGCGGCTATGCCTATGTATTGTTAGCCCACACAATAATGTGGAGTAGTAGGAGGAATTGGCAAGCGCGAAGTTTGGCTCCGGAACCGGGTGACGTCACTGTAAAAAGAATTCAATAAAATTTATGATCAATGCTACATGCAACCGAATTTACAATGTCAACTAGGTTTTGCAGGCACAATAAGTATTAAGGCTATCGGTAGGCAAAAATAAATTAATGTTCGCACACGAATTGACATAGGTTTAAACAAATATGTACTTCGAATATTAATTACTATGATAAAACAAACCGAATGCGAGCCACACCAATTATTGGAAATTTCATTTTCTAATGTGGTGATATTTATCACATATGTTAGAATACATCTAAATACATTTCAAATAGGTTCATTACCGTCACTAAATTTGAACAATATTTCACCATATATATAAACAACTGAAATAAGCATACAAACATTAAATTTTATCATAACAATCACTTTTCTGTCTTAACAAGTGACACACGTCAAAGCTGAAAGTTGTTTCCCAACAATCATTCTCTGTGCTCAGAGGAAATTGTCTTCGCAAATGAGGCGTAGAGCAATAATTTACCCTCTCAATGACCTCTTTGGTAACAGTAATATCATTACTATGACTTCCTGTTCATTGCTACGCTATTTCGATACATATTCTAAGAGCTTTAGGCTTACTTTCATTACATATACTTTATACAATTCCCTTTCTTCTAAAATAATTACTGGTTCGAATGTAATTTTTGTAGCAACATTTCTATTTCTTTCATTACAAAACAAAAAATATCAGTTAACTTTATCGTAGGCATATATTGAAATATTTTGTTTGAACTGCTATCGTTTTGTATTCACGTTAAATCTATAGACGTTAATGTACACACAGTTTTATTATTTTAACAGTTTAAAACAAAAGGCTGTTAATATTAAAGATAACGTCACTCACACTGACTCATTTAAATTCATTTGGCACATATAAAATATTAAATTCATATTCAACGGTTCTTTGTTTTTACAATTAACGTTTATATATAGGTCAACCCAGGATTTCTTGAACACGGCGATTGTAATTATGGTTTTCATTTAAAACTTTAATACCTCTAAGTACTTCGGGTCTCTGTTGAAATTAAACAATAGTAATATTAAAGTTACTGCTTTTGACTAGAGTCTTTTACGGCCTTGATTCTTAGCGTTATAATTCCAATTTGAATATGAAATGTGGTCGGGATTAAAGTGAATTGTAAAATATAATTCCGTCATGTAAGAGGAAAGGGGTTTGGTACAGCGTAATAAAATTTATATTCATTCAGGAATCATGACGTTAGTGTTAATTGTAACCCATTGAAAACGAAAAACGAACTGGAATCGATGGATAGGTACACTAATTAAAATTAGCTATCCATGTTAGCTCTGTGTTTGATTGAGAGTCGTTTTACAGTACGAATTAATAATAGAATTTATATTTTCAATACAAATGTTATATAAGGTAATGAGGTTGGATAATTTACGTTTTTTCCTTCACATAGCGATAATTTTTGCTTTTATTACTTTGATATTCAATTAGTAATGTCTTGATTTACCATAAAATTATGATGCTACTGTTTTCATTACAATGGTAATTAATTAATTTTGAAAAACTTTAGATACCTACTTGTAACGCCAGTATGGAAGTTATATGATATTAGAGCTTACCCCGATATCAAAGTACATACTAGTATTTATTTTGGTAGTCAAAACAAATCACATCAAGAATACTTAATTATGAGTTGTAAGCAAAATTGTCATGTCAACGGATATCGTTTATTTTTAGAGTTATTCTCTTCAAGCCTTGTAAACCCACACTCTAGAAGTGTATTAAAAATAATAAGTTCGCCATCTTAGATATTCAGCCATTTTGGGTTATTAATGATGTTATAATTTTTTCACAACTGATTTGCAAAATTTCACACTAACAAATTACATAAACAGTAAGTTAACTAACAGCTTGAACAAAATTAAAGCATTTAAACTTTTTTATGCTTTCCATTTAAAATTAACAATTATTACAAAGAACAAACCTCTTTCAATTTTCGGGTCACTGTTGGCAGAATATAGCGCAACTGCCGAGTTGTCTCTATACAGGTCGGAAACTTTTGCTTCGCAGCGAAGTATTGGTGCTCCCCTCTCATAGTGGGCTGGCCACAACTGGACTTGAACATATAGTTCTGACCAGAAGAGCCCATCCGGGGCTGGCTGAACTTGATGCATCCCTGGTGTAACCTGGGAGAGAATGGTTAGTGAGAATAATTTGTTAATTTTCTTCTACGATATGAAATTTGTCACCGTTTCTTTTTGATTACAATATAATTGATATGAGCGAATTGCGTAAAGTGAAACAACTTCAAGGTCTTATTAAATTAAAACAAATATGTATATTAGTATAAAATGTAGGATTGAACAAAGTAAAAAAATATTATTTTTAAACTCAGAGTAATATATAATATTTCAAATTGAATATAATATTATTTGTAAATAATTTTATATACATTTCTAATAAAATGTTAACAGGAATCCTTTTTAAGCCATCTACAAAAGCTTAACGTGAAAAAATCTCTTGTTAAAGTAGGTTATTACTCTCATCTTCTTTGAATTATTTACTTTGCTGTGCTTTTTATATGTATTATAAACTCCTATTAATATTGTATAAATATAACTTCATGATTCTTTTTAATTCATTTTGAATATAAAATTTAACTAATATTATAAAATGTCATGCAAATATATTTCAGATATTTTCTAATAATAGTATTTAAATTACTCGATTATTAATAATATTCAAAGGAACCAAAAAATAACTGCTATCCACGTTGAGTATAGTCAAATCGATTATAAAGAACGACACCATTAATCTAGATACATATCCTAAGTGGTTTGAGAAATGCTAACTATTCTTGAGAGTGAAACATGAACTTCGGTGACGGTTTCTTAATTGTAAAGTATGAAATAACTTGTTATTGTTTTGGTATTATTTTAAAACACAACTTCGAGAGCACAACTTTATATAAATCTCAAATAAATACATAATGATACAAAGGTAAAGTAAAAGAATAAAAAAAAATTAAAGTGGGTTTAAAAAATCAAAGCAATAAATTCCTGCGATTAAATGTACATCCTAGCTCATAAAAACCAAATATAAAGAATTATTTCAGAAATTATTAAAGTAAAAATATTTCCTTAGTAATATAAAAGACGACTTGCAATTATTCCATCTGGATATGTACTATCGAGAAAAATATTAAATCCCTAATCTATGACAACATTTAAGGACTTCTAGATAGGTAGAATCAGTATTTTTTACATTTAAAATAACCAAGGATAAATTTTTATACAATAATTGTCAAACCATCATTTTCGAACATCAAAATATCTCATTGATTTGAAGGTTTCAAAATATTACATTTAACTCAAAGAAACTTCTTGCTTCTATCAACACTTGTTTCTGTAATAATATACATAAGAGATTATATTTAGTTTCTTTTTGTTTTTTTAACACACGTAAATATTATCGGGAGGGTAAGCTTTAAATAAAAATTGTACGTATAATGAGTTCATCTTAACATCTTATCTTAAACTTTGAAACTATGTTAAAAATTATTAAATTTAGTAACTAGGTTCGGAATAAACACCGTTTTAAGTTCTCAAAGACACGCTGATGTTAAGCAGTTAACGATGTTGCAGAAAGTTGATTACGAGAACAGAAAATATTCTCGTTTTATTTTATATATGAGATAATATATTAAAAAAATAGTATCTGTAATCGTCATAAAATATTAACGTTTTTTACTCAACTAACGAACTATATCACCTTCAAATTATATATTAATAGGAAGATATAAAATATGGTGATATATTATATATTTATTGTGTTTAAATATAAGGTAATATTGTTTAAACAACAGCACCGCAATCTAGTGTTCATCATCGTATCCAAAGCTATCCAACGGATCTACATTCAAAGTGAGTAATGTGGTACCTAGTGCTGCAATGCGGTCTGCACTCATTAACTCAGACTCAGGATAAGACTAATTTAAAGAAAAACATTTATTGTGATAATAACATAATATATACTTTAGTTTCAGCTAATATTAAAAATGAATATAAAGTTTATGTACAATTGCAAACTGAAATAAGTCAATTGCAGGTTCGGCGTTTGGCAACAAAAAATATGCACAGTATATATTATGTAGTTTTCATGAAATTATTACCTTTTTACTATATTTAACTTTTATTTCTTTAACTTTTATTTCATATGTGAACCAATAAAACTTATTTAATTATTTTAATTTATTTATTTTAAAACGTATTCTTGGACTAACAAGCTCACTGAATCCTCTCTGTTGGTAAAGTTCTGACTTAGTTCAATGTTATACATCAAAGCTAAACAGCTAATTAGATATCATTTAGTATCCAAGCTGGGTTTAACTGAAGCAGATTGGAATGATGTATAAAGCTGCAATGTAGATTTATCTTTGAGTTAATAAATTTGATAAATAATTACTAAGTTACTTAATTTGTTTCAAGAATCTATTTTTATGAATGTTTATGAGTAATCTGATAAAGATCAGTAAAGTATTATACTGATTATTAATCAATGAGATGCAAGTAGCATATCCAACTCGTTGATTGACACCCATTACTGCCTTCTATGGTTCAATAATTCTACTGAACTTTCTTGATATAACTAGTTAATGTTTATGGTGTCTAAAATGAGTTAGATCATATCATATAACATACATATAAAAATATGTCGATTACCTTCTGATTAATATCTGTCTACAAAGAGGAAACATTAAACTCTTGATCTTGCTTTTGCGTTCACTTGTCTATTATTATTTGTAAGTTATTTTAAGAAAAAAATCTTTTTACAAAATATATTTAAAGCATTCAAACCTTTAAACATAGTAAAACCATAGGAGTTCTTACACTAATAATATATTAACTATACATTTTAAAATTAAAATACGGTAAAATAAATGTTTACAATTTTGAAATAGAAAGAACACAGTTTTAATTAAAAGTAAAGAATAAAATCATTTAGAATTAAATCAAAACAATAATGGTCGCCTCACAGAGAGAAAGCTAACAGCTAACAGTCGCCATAAGTTTAATACAAAGTCAGCTGTTTACTTCAAGACGACCGCGGAATGAACGGGCAATACCATTGTTTCTCTTTTAATTTCCAACGGAATTCTCAACAAATGTGTGGAAGTATCGCTGAGAAACAGTCGGTTACAAATTCTAACAAGAACAATAAGCAAACTCGGGATCGGAACGTAAATACCGTAGCAGCAAAATATTCTGAGAAACCATCTTCAGACGCATTAAAACTTACACACCTAGAAAACTATTCGCTTTTACCATGAATAAAGTGTTAATTAAATGTTGATGCTGTAAGAAGTTATAGTAAATGAGTTTCTAAAGTAAATTGGATTTGTGCGAAATTATGCAATCTCTTTAAGAGGAAAACTTTGAATTGACAGCATCAAACAGTAAGTTTTTGATTGCGATTAACGATTTACACATGGAAATATACATTAAGTGTAATATTAATATCTATATAAAAAAAACATGAGTTTACAAATTTTATAGAAAGCTTTCCCTTTAAACAATCTGAAGTGTTCTTTAAATTATACTTTATATCATGTCAACTTTTACAGAAAAACAATGTTGAACTAACTCCTTTTTACCTTGAAATATATGTATATAAAAAAATTATTCACTAACTTCGAACCTGCGACTGCGGAATTATAGCGTTAGAGAAGCTTAACTGACTGTGCCTTGACTCAGATAAATGATTAAGTATCTTTTACATTTAACCGTCATATTAGAATGAACGGATAATTTAGTATAGTATATTTACCGGCAAGTAATAAAGTGATCTTTTCCGAATCATATGTACTTTCTGAGAGTATTAAGACACCACTGATAGAGGATGAAGGAAATCATCGAGAGGAAACCTGGATTTATAGTTTCAAATTTTAAGTTTTTAATCGGCAACCCACTTTGAGCAACGATGTGATTAATGATCTAACCTTCTCCATGTGTCAAAGAAGCCGTTGCTCAACAGGGGATCCTATAGGCTGATGATGATGATGATGATATTTACCGGTAAGTCATTGATGTAGAAGGTAAGCTCGGAAGGCGGGCGACTCGGTCCTGAGGAACAGTTGCCTCGCAGAACATCCCCCGGCATATAGTAATGCTGGCTCGTTAGGATCGATGGTGAAGTTGCTGGTAGAACTAACAAACGAATAAACTATTAAAATAATATTCATTCATACTTCACAAACGATTGTAATAACAAGAAAAGTTACAGTTTAATGATAATTTTTTTCGATTATTGAAACTATTTGAAAAAAAAAAAACTAAAATCAATATATTTTACACCGAAGTTTGGAAAATGAAATATCACTAAAACTTGCATATCAATTAAATTGTATTTATTAATTATATAAAGCCATCTTACCAACAACGTCCATTGTATTAGATACGATGGAGGTTGCAAAAGAAGGTGCATCCGCTGTAACCTCACAGCTAAAGTTTCCCGACAGACCAAAACTCACTCTGGTTAGCACAACTTGGCTCTGATTGGATCTCGCCAGCTATAGTTAACAAAGAATGCATCCATTAAAACTTTTCACTATTATCACAGTCTAAACAATTAAGAGTTAAAAATTTTTGGTGATTATAATAATAACTTGATGTTCTCATATGTTCTCTCTAACACTGTCAAAATGTATAGGTACAACAAATTTATATTTGTCCCAAAATATGTCACATTTTTATCAAACATTCATATTCTCTGAATATTTTGTATTAGTGCTACTCCCTACATCATTTCCTCCTAAAATCCTAAGCCGACTTCATTATACGTAAGTTCTTTTTAGGTAAAATTCTGGTAAAATCCTTACTCAGTGTACGACCTCACAGGGTCAATAGGGCAGAAATGTATCATAAAGAGCAGATGTGAGTTCCATACTCGGCTGAAATTAATGAGATGACCTTTGCTTTATCTTTAATGGCCCTTTATGACCTTGTGTAGGCGATTTAATATTACAAAATTATTTTTATGTACGAAAAAAAATATTTAGTATCCTATTAATTTTTAAAATGATGTCATGCGATAAAAAATATATTATGTTATCAAATATTATATTTTATACAATTGATATACTAATTCATATTAAAAATCTATTCTATCTTACTGAGGAAAAAATTAAAAAATTGTTATAGCTATTAATTTTTAAATTTATATCACATTTTAGCCCGCTGCCTCTTTAAGCTTTAATCCAATTATGTGCAATTAACTCGTCGCCATCCCAGAAAAGGTTAAATTAAAAATCCAAATTATATTTTTCTCATAATGAACGCGGATTTTTTATATCCTGCTCCTTACTTCTAAAGATTCGTAGCATTACAGCAATTATAAAAATACGATCTTGCGTGAATCGAGAACGAGTTCGCGTGCTTTCAAAATACCATCTGAGAGTTTTATGAGAACAAAACCGTATTTTCACGTCTGATGGTTGGCAGATGTTCATAAATTTAATCCCTTACTGGTTTTATTTCGTAATCGCCTTAATAACCTTTCGGGTTCGTTTCCTCTATTGTTAGACTCTACTGGATCTGGCTGATTGGAACGAAATATGACATCCTGGGTTGTAATGGTTAAGTTATTTTAAATAGATTTTATGAAATCTCTAAACCCTTTTCTGTATGTAATATACACAGTTGATTCTTATAAGTAATGAAAAGTCATTAATTACATTTTAAAATATATGCTTTCAATACATTGAGGATAAATAAGGGACGCTTCCATTGTAACGGATTTGAGAAGATATATTTATATGAAATACAGGACAAATTAATATTTTAAGAAAATTTCGTTTGAAGTGAAAATATAAATATTTAAGTATATAGGTACATTTAAATAAATTAAAGCAATTTGCAGTCTGAAAATCCAAAATTAATGAAATACTTATTTCATATAAATTAAAGTGCTTATGTTGGATTAAGTCATTATGATACTTTCAACTTTATAAAGCCGTTCTTTTAATAAATGAGGTAGACATTTAAGAATCTTGTCATTTAAGTAACATATTTGAATCGTAATTAAGAGCATTTCTAGCTTTATAATAATTATTAATTAAATTACTATCCTTCAATTAGACGATACGGATTGAAAACAAGAAATTGATCGCTTTATCAATTCTATCTCAACTATCAATAAATTCATTACACTAGAGAGTATTCATTGATTTGCATATAAACAATGTTTGAACGGTTCTGAATCTTAGCAGAGGGTTTGAATAAATTTAAGTGTATCATAATATCTGAATCGGAATTTCAATTAATTGCTTAAACCAAAATGTCAGTGCAACAAAGGAGCTTAACAAAACAATTACGGTCTATTACTGTATAGCGTTCAAACGCGTCGGAGCGAATATGCTTTGTGTATCTTGGACGTTTCAGACAACAAGCAGTAGAGAGAGCGGAAACTAAATATCTTAAAGTTTACGAGACAGGACCTTAGACTTTATTTAAAGAAACTTATTATGAATTTCACTGCTGAAATTAAAGTTTTGTTGGTTTGAAAATCAAGTATATACATACATACATACATACATAGGAATTTTACTTTTAATTCAAATTAAAAAAAAATATTGTCGCATCATTATTTTAATAAAATTAATAAAGATTTATAGTATTGAATGTCATTTATCAAAACGAACCTAAAATAAACAAGTTGCTGAATGTGAATTATTTTAATGTTTGTCACAACAAAAATGATAAATGATCACATCAAGTTAATTTTCAAACGGAAAATAATTTCCACTTTACTACTGTAATGGAGAAACACAGGTTGTTTTTAATTACCTCCCAGTTTTTGCAGGCTATAAACTTATTAGAGTGAGTAAATTATAATTGTAATTTTATCCACAGAATAAATTTTGTTGAATATTTTCTTACTATAATAATTGTTCATAAAAGCAATAGCTGTCATGATTCTTTTGACAGTATCATAATAACAATCTTATTCATAACTGTCTAATGTCTAGAGTATATTCTCGTAAGATCTAAATGTGTCATCAAGAGAGATTTAGTTGGATTTTGTGTGACATACTGTGACAGTATTTTGTGTTCTATTAGTAATACATTGTCCTGTTTATGATAAATTGTTATTTATATATTATTATAAATTGTAAGAGTAACTATATGAGACAACAATTTTTTATGTGTAAGTTTATTTTAGTTTTCCATTCGTCTAACCAACACCATTATTCAAAACATGTGGATGTATCAAACTAAAATTTATATCTGACGCGGGTCTTCCCTTGGAAAAGCAAAAAGTTCTTACTTTTAATTAAAGCAATGAAAATATTATTTAGGTATTCAAGTTATTCGAGTCATTTATATTTAGATAAAAAAAGTTTAAGCAAGATCTATAACAACATTATGCTATCTTATTTTTTTTATAATTATGTCTGTAGTACGTACGTCAACATTGATGCCAGCGAATGGAAATATCTTCGTAGCGGGTGTTTCGGTCGGTGAGTATCTATAAAACTCATGTCGCCCTCTGTACCATTTCACAGAATATAAAGGAGCGTCCGTCAACTCGTAAAGACAAGCGAGGATAACATCTGATCCTCGCTGGACAACCGGAGGTGATATTTTTAGTTCAATAGCTCGAAGGCCGCCGATACCTGTTAGAGAAGAAAATTGAAACTTTTATTATATTCAAGTAAAAGACTAAGAATGTATTAAATATTCACAGTAATAAATAATGCAATTTTGTTTAAAAATAAACATGTCCCATTAACTTGACTTGTTGAACAGTCAACAAACCAGCGAACAGCCATTAATCCTGGAAGAACTCGTTTTCAAACTTCACTAAAAGCATTTTAACGTGAGGCATAAATTTCAGCTAGGACCTTATTTAGGACAAGGTTCTAATCAAAACTCTTCTTATACCAAAAAAACTACAAGTATCTAGAGATACTTTCTTTTATGCGAACCTGTTAAATTGTATAATATAAATCGCTTTTCTTTTATTTACCTTTATTCGAAATTGTTCAATAACTTTTACAATTACATTAAGCTATAGATAAGATCTGAAAAGGTTTTTATAAGTTCAAATTTTATTAGTCAGGTTCTTGTAAATTTACTTAGAAGCCTGATTACTTGTTTAATCAGCTTTGTGGCAAAAAAAAACTCACCAAGCACAAACTCTAACAGCTATGACACTCGAAAACAAAAACTAATTAAATGGAGATTAAAAACTTCTGACAATTATGAAATTCAACAGAAACATTTATCCACATTGTCACCATATTTACTCAGTCCTGAAAAGGTAATTCAAACAGTGGTGATTTCAGTTGTGTATAATTATAAATAAAAGAATATTCGAGTCTAAAATAAAAAAGGCAACCGAAGTGAACAGTGAGTATTGAATGGTCACTGCTCGTTTACAGTATTGTATCTCATAAAAACCACTTTGCATTTGGCACATTTAAAGCCAAATGTTGCCGGAAAAACAGGAGCAATAAAAATTCGTTTATCGCAAAGTTAAATGAAATGCAAAGAGTAATGTCCCGACCCAAAAAGCCGTCTAGTGTTAAAGATGGAACGATGTATTTTTATACGATTATAGGCTTTACGCGTATTGTTATAGGCACCGCGAAATTTGAAAAACATAAAAGAAATTACCGATAGCGCCTGCATTAGGGAGGCTGTATTTTTAATGGAATTCATTAGGTGATATTTCTTTGGATCGCGAAAAGGTGGATTCACTTTGAGTTGTAAATTGGACACCATTTTCACACTTTATATTAGTATTATGTAAATTGTGGACTTTCACAGCAATCCTTTCTATGCTGACAAAAGCGTTTTGGTACATTGATTATTTTATTTTGTCATGTTTTTACACACTTAAGACATAAACCCTATTTTGCAAGACAGTTTGTTATATACCTTTACTTGATTTTCAAGCTCTATTATTAAATTAAATTTAAATTAGTGTGATGTAAATATCTAAGTAACAAATTTTACAAACAACAATTGTTAAGTTAAGAAATGAATAAATAAAACAATTTAAATGACGAAGTATTAGGGTCTGAAAATTTCAAATACATCGTGGTATCATTACGAAGTATTCTCCTATCTGAATCAAAGTCTCGTAAAAATGTCATTACTGCTACGATAAAGGCCGAAATCGCGTGTTCCGAAGGTTAGTGGCTTTATCTGGCTGAAACTGAGCACTTATTCCCAAACTTATTGGCTCCGTACGCAAAACAAAGTCATAAATACAACCCGTACGAAACTTTCAATACAAATATAAGGTCGTATACACAATTATGGGCATTAGAAACGTCGTGAGTTTTGTGTTAGGAATTCATTTAGAGCCATTTTGTGATTTTATTTAAAAATGTTTGTATGTCATTTCTATGGGATATATAAAATGGATAATACATTGTTTTAAATGTTTCAATATCCAAAGTAATACTAGATTTACCAAAATATATGTCATATTTAAAAATATATATTTTAAAATTTTATAATAAATATTATTTTATCCAAAAGTTTTATTTCAAGTTAAATCTGATTACTTTCACATATTATTATTAGAGTCACATAACCTAGGTGATATAAGTTGTCAAATGTTGTCTGCAGTTTTAATGGAAATGATCCTTTATTCGGAATAAAGTTGAATTTGTTTATTCCCATTTGCTTCCAGTTTCGAATTGACAAAACGGTTTTCATAAAATGCCCGCAGTGAAATAAAAAACAGATTTTAAAATTTTAAATAAAAGTGGTAACAGATTCTTGCGGTTTTTTATTTAACATGTTTCTGACGAATATCAATCACTTTATAGAATACATTTTGAAATTTTATATTAAAATGACACGTTTTATCAAAAAGTTCATAAAGCGTGACATCAGTTTGCATTCATCCATGGTATTTACTTTACTGATACTTAAAATGTGATTGCAGTATTCGATATCTGTAATGATCGAAATCATATATGTAAATTGGAAATTTTAAATTGCCATTAACTCTTCACTAAATAATATAAAATTGTTATACATGGATACATAAATAGATTAAATATGTTGGCTTGAATTACCTTAAAATAAAGCTAGCAGTTACCAGTTCTGTTGTAGTTACTGGCACATGTTGAAAAAATATAAGCCAAAGCTATATGTAGTTCCTAAATCGCTCGCACGTCTAATGGAAGCAATTACTGAGAATTGTGTTGGAGGAAGACAACATTTTTTTAAAAGATGTATTCGTCAGATAAATAAACCCAATACGGTTAATCTTGTCTAAGCACGCCATTTAGTTGGCAAACATTTATTTGGTCCAAAATTTTTAACATAAATATATTTGGTACGCCACTTGTTATATGAGGCATATGAAATCAAATATTTTTAGCATATCTAATCAAATGATACTTCTATTCGATATATTTTTAAAAGCCTCAAAAGACCTAAAGTAAGTCACCCAGTGTATGTATTAGTACATATATGTATATATATATTTGTAACTTAACGTATTTCCTTGAATTAAAATTAAAGTCATTATTATTAATTAGTAAACTATCTACTTGAAACTGTGAATGCTGCTAGTGTTCCAATCCTTTTGTTTATGATTTTTATTTGTTAATTTTATGATTTACACATTGACAGTTGACAGTGAATGAGAGAAGACAGATTACGGATGGAGTGTCAAAATAAAACGTAGTTTAATTAAATTTGACAGTTATATAATTGAAATTTATTTCTAATATATTTCGTTACTTTGTGCAGTTAAAAGTTTTTCTTAAGCTGGTAGCTATTTTGTTTATAGAAAATCTTTCAATTATTTTCTAAAGCTTGTGTATAATATATTAATTTTATTCAATCACCTCGAAGGTTTATTTACAAAAACAAGCCAATATAAACTTTGACAAAGACTCACAGCAAGATTCGATCAAGATAGTATTCGTGAAATACTATTGACTAATAATGGAACTTCTACTCTACAAAGCTACAATTTCTAGTAACTTCCACTAACAACTTTAGGTGTGGTATGAAGGTGTAAGTGTTCTTCATTTGGGAATTGTTTGAGGAAGTTGGAATCAGAATAATTGAAATAGTAACGTCAAAGACATTGTAAAAAACTAATTAAACTTCAAACTGATTTACTTGAAGGTTAAATGTAACCAACGAATTATGTAACTCATTTATATTTTACATTCCTGAAATTTTCATAAAAAGATTGTCGTAAAATTTAGTAGATAATTGTACTTGTGGTTATGAGAAAGCATTATGTGGTTACAACACAATTGCATCTCTATTTAATGGTACTTTGTTATATTTCTAAGAACTTCGCATTGTATTAAGTGTTTAAACTACTTACCGACAACGTCGAGCCTAGCGCTGGCGGTGAAATGGGGGAAGGTGTGAGCGTTCTGAATTACTTCGCAACTATAATTACCGCTGAGATTCGGTGTTACACGCATCAGTACGACGTGCGTTTCATTAGAATTAAGTCTCTGAAAAATTATGTAACATTAATGTACAATTAAAGAAAAAAAATTTCATTTCTCAATTTAATTTTAAACTTATGAGTAAGAATAATTAATTTAATTAAGGTAATATAAAATTCTCATACTTTTAATAATATAAATGAAACAATTTTAATATTTTTAATTTTGCTTTCTGTAAATTGTAAATTGCACTGCAAAATTAATCTTCAGTATGTTTAAAATTTTATCGAAACATTTATCTCGTGTGAAAGTCCTTATTTAAATTTATTATTAAAAAAGTTTTTTCTTTTTATATATAACTATCGATAAGTTTGTCATTAATAAAATACAGAAATCATCTAATTCCAATGGCGTTTCAAGTGTACATCGTAGTTCAAATTCAATAAAGGTATATAAAACCTTTTTGTTTTCTATACTTACATCAACCTTAATACCATTTACAGGCGTAACTCGAGTTGTTGGCGATTCTAAAGGCGAATATCTATAAAACTCCTGTGTGCCCCTGTACCATTTAACCGAGTATATTTCACTTTGATGAACCTGATACAGACATGCCATAGTGACATTCCTTCCTCTCTGTACTACCCGAGGCATTATATGTAGTTCCGTGGTACGAAGGCCTCCGGCTTCTGTGAACAATAGATGATTGTGTTTAGTTTATAAACAAGATAAGCGTATAAGATTACATAACCTGCTTGGTAATGTTAGGTAATTACGACCAAGTCTGGCCCAGTGGGGTTATGATTATATTTAATTATGATAATTTTAGTATTATTTGACGTAAATTGATAACATGTCCTATTTTCTGATTGATAGTTTCAATAAAGAAGTGAAATTTTATGTTTAACTAACTGTTATATTTAACTTTTATTTAGAATACTAAGATAAAATATTACTTATATACAACATGAAAATGAAGTCTTAAATTATTATTTTTTAACATACATTAAAGCACCCTTTGGAGATAAAATCAAATTATTCTCAACGGTCAATCTAAGGGAACCTAATTAAGCCTCTTATATTTTTTCGGGTCAAGTTTAATCAAATTCTCAATTATGTATCTTGAAAATTGTTTGCGATATAAAAATGTATGTTGAAAATGTTAAACTTTTATTCGTCCGCTAATTAAATGAGTTCCTTGAAAATAATTAAAATTCTTTTGTATTAATTTGTAACTTTAAGTATTTTTTAATATACAAAAATATTTGTTCTTATTTAAAGGGAAAACTTTTTATAGCTTTAGATTATTTGACTAATTAAAGTATAATTTTTAATTAATAAGAAAGAGAAACTAAAATAAAACTCCAGGAAATTGTAAATTAAGGAAATAGCTACGGAAAAGTTTTTTATAAAACAAATATTTAAGAAACTTTGAGGATATCGTAAGCAATGCTCAAAGGATCGATTGAAGAAGAACGTATAAGGTTAGGTAGAAGAGCATTCAAATGTCGAACTAGTTTTTTTGGAATGCTGCCAGTGGAACTTGTTTTAAAAGGTTGATGAGAAGGCTAGCAATTTCCTTTTTGAGGGATACAACAAACGAACTAAGTAGATTCCAAATAGAAAATACTAATGAATTGGAGATAAAATTGTGGAATTAGTGTTTTGTGAATGTTACATCAGATACATTAGTCCCGGTATTGATAGAAAAAATAAATAATTCCATACAAAGAAAAAGATAACCTCTCAATGGCCAATAGGGCTGTAATAACCATTAGCTTGTTTCAATAATATTTATAGGAAATGGACTCGCTGGTCCAATAGTAATGTTCGTATCGTATTTTTCTTAATTCTTTTGTTAGGAATAAATCATGCGATACAATAAGAGTATTCTATTGTAATATGTTTTATATTTATGACATAACAATTGTTCATTTCATTTTCAAAAAAGAAAAAGTAAGATTATATTGGATGGGATTTATTTGATTTGTAAATATACATGTATTATGAATAAAATATTTGATGGCACATTTTTTGTTGATTCTTTATGTGTCACAAAAAAAGCAAAAATAATTATTCCTATCAGTATTATCAACAGTATACGATGTGAATAGAAAGGTAGTTTTTGTTTAAAGATTTTGTTTTTCGATATATTATGTTGTAACATTATTCATTTTTCATTTCCATCACATGAACTTGTTACTTTAAATATCATGATTTTAATTCAAGATGCCAGTGTCTTGCAAGTGAACTGTAAATGTATTTCTTTTTATTTACAGTTATATAAAATATATAAGGTTTATTCAAATTGTTTTCTGTTAATAAATAAAAACACCACTAACCGATGTTTCTGAAAATTTTTAAACCAAAATCCGTAAGAAATATAAAAGTATAATAAAATTAAATTATGAACGTGTCTAACAATTATGTTTAAAATCAACATTTGGTTACAACTTATATACTACAACTGGTAGACCCTTGTCCAGTTTATGTATGTTGGTTAAAGGGAGGTATTAGTCATCGTTTACGTCATCATCGGCGTTATCACTTAAATCTGAATGAATTGAAAAGTAAATTGTTGCATTTCATAATAAATTACATACAAAATTTAATTAAGTTTTAATTTCTTACGGTAGTTGTTATGATATTTTAACCAAAAGTTTGTTGTACATATAAAAGATATCTTTCTTTGACTTTATGAGTTCATAACTACTTATATACATGGTTATACATAGAGATAGTTACACACACATATAAATATATATAAAAGTATCTATATAAATGTGTAATAATATGGAAACAAATAAAAAAGTGTATTTTTTATATTCCAAAATTTACTTCAATTCTCAACGAAACATTTCCACTTAAAGAACAAATAATTCAACTTCAAAATAATAACAAGTCGATCATTTAATTTTTTGAGAGAAATAAAAATATATTTTAACCATTTTTTTCAGTAAAACTGCAAATTGGGCCTCGAATTAATTAAAAGTTTTGTATCTTGTTAGGAAAGCACATTAAAAAAAAGATTTATCGTCTAAGTTCTCAGAAAAAAAAATTTAACTTCGTTTTGTTTCTGGAAACTAAACAATTTAATAATAAGCAAAAGTTTTAAGTATTTTTGTTAGAGGTTAACAAACATATTGAAAATAAATGTAATTAATGAAAACGTTTTATTTCATATACATACATTATATCTTATTTGTTGATTTGAACACAAATATATTATGTTACATAATTGTTATACATATGTAGCTTTGAAGCGTATTCAAATGATGTGTGTAAAAAAATCATTAAAATTTCATTTCCGTTTGTTTGAATATCAAGTTTAATTGAAACGATTCTTTGTTTATCAAAAATATACAAATAAAATAGGCTCGTATTTCATCAACTCCAAGTAATTGATTGCGCTTTTGCCTTATTTTTTTATGATTATTGAAATATTAGGCTAAATGTAGATTCATAAATAAAAATAGAGAAATACTTTTATAATTATTATTCTCCCTTATTCACACTGTAATAAATCTCTTCGACAAGCTTCTTAATTTAGACAACAAAATTAAGACGCGACATTCCTTATCCCCTAATTAATTAAATCCATTAATATTCCAACGATTCTTCAGATACGTGATTGTTGTCATAACGAAGTTATTTTTGTAGGAGCAACATTTGGAAGAAATTTGTGAAATGCTAACTGGAGATTTATAATGTTAACTGTACTGCATAAAATTATATTTAAGAATACTTATATGGATAGCGTTTTAAAATGTAAATTAATTGGTAAAGGAAATAATCAAATACACCAATTAAATACTCCGTACATTTTAAAATAAAATATTTCTAATGAGAATTTGCTTTACGTTTGTGAGCATTGAAATATTAAATATATGTATTGAAAATACTTCAGACGGAAACTGTTCATTAATATTCATTGAATATTTAAGTATGTTCTTTTCGTTCAACATCAAGCATATGTGAGGTAGTATATCACAATACTATACCAGTATAGATGGCGTTCCAACCGCATTTACACGTCTCTATAGTCAAAGCAATAGCTTTTGATCATGCATCCGTGTATTCCGTGCGGTGCGCTATTTAATATCATACAATGCCTGCTAACTGTACACGGATCTGAGAACAGTTTCAAGTATCATTATGCTTTTGGGGACTCCTTTGTATTTTATTTTTAATCCGACGTCATTAATTATACCGAGGAGTTGATTTGGCATATTATAATGAGATTCGTAGTAGAGAATTATATCCTTCTTATGTATCATGATTGTACATTATGGAACACGTTTGTGTTTGTATTATAGGAAGTCTCACTTTGAAGTCCAATTACAGCTGATAATAAGCATTATTTGTAAATGTATGTAATACGCATGTTTTATAATTGGATGCCGGTTTCTTTGAGATTAATATTTATTTTTAGGTATCACTTTTGAAAAATTAAAACGATATTGATGAAAACATAAAGTAATTTTTGAAATTGAAAAATTAAAGGATTATTGCTGAACAATTTTTATATGACCTTTTAAAAACACATTTTTTATTGAAATAGTTTACACTTAAACGAGCAAGTAAATTAGAGTAAGATAGACAACTAAGGGTAAGAAGATACCCTGTGGCCTGTAGCATGAGAGACAACATGATGGTTAACAAAGGCGGGGTGGATCATCATCATCATCATCACTTAGCCTATTGCAGTCCACTGCTGGACATAGGCCTCTCCCAACACGCGCCATAACACTCGGTCCTCTGCCTTCCGCATCCAGTGAGACCCAGCGACCTTTTTAAGGTCATCGGTCCACCTAGCTGGGGGGCGTCCTACTCTACGTTTGCCGAGACGCGGTCTCCACTCAAGGACACGCTTGCTCCACCGTGCGTCGGTCCTTCTACAGATAGATAGTGGATAGTGGGGTGGATAGTGGTTTGAAATTGTTTTTCTAGTACCGGAATAGCTACAGAACTTTATGGAATTCCCGGGTTCATCTGTGGATGCCAATAGGCTGACTTGATTTGAAATAACCAAAAAACTCACATAATAAAACTAAAATAGTATTTGAAATAAACATGCTGTTCATTCAAACTCCGTTTTTGCTCATTAATTTCCAATACTTATGGATGAACGCGCCATCACCAGTGTAATTAAGCAATGTCCTTTATGTAAGAATGCACTTGTTAATTTAATAAATTTTAAGCCATCTATTCGAAATTCGTTTAGTGACACACACATTCATGAAACAAAAACAGTATTAGTTGATCCCACTTCGATCAGCCCTCCATAACTTTACTCTTTCTTGTAAACATACAATATGTCTGGTGGAAAAAGGTTTATCACCTCTGTTTGGCTATATTTATCCGGGTGAAGCCTTTTGATATTTATTGATGCTCCTCTTTTGCCCCACCGACTCTATAAATATGGATTTATTTTGAGGTACATAAAACGGCTGGTAAAAGGAGTAAAAAGTTGTACTATGAAAAATATTTGCCTGGGATTTTTGTCGATGGATAAAATTTTAAATGCCTACATAAATTTACTAAACTAAATATTTGTTAGTTCAGACCAAAATCTAGATGATTTTTCTCCAATAGCTTTTGAATTATGCAAAACTAAAAGTAAATAACGTTTTTATGGCTTAGTATTATTGTTTTGATATAAAGTTAAATTGTACGAGTTCGTGTTTCA